TTTTACGAAAATACACTCAAGTGCTCGACTTAATCTTTCTGGGCCAATCCTTGAATTGCAGGACCTCAGACTGTATTCACAGCCTTGAACTGAGCGAATCGTAGTTTTTTCTTTTTTTTTTAAAAAAAAGCAGTTCAGTACTGTTCCGAAATGATTCATTACTTTTATCCGGTATTATTTTTCGGCAGCTGTTGTAAATTCACTGTTGGAGAGCAAAGATTTAGCAACAAATTTTTATTGCATCAGTTCTTGCACTTCTAAGAATTACTCATTTAGGTTCTTTTCTTTTTTTTAAATTTTTCCAAAGAAATCATTAGAATTTCCGGAAATTATTTTTCCATCAAGTTTTCTTGCAACAACTTAATTTCTTTCCCAGAAAACCATTCATTTGAAGCTTTTTAAAAAAAAAAAAAGGAAAAAAAAATTAATTGGAAAGTTGTTCAGAAAAAAAAAACCACCTTTGTTTTATCCATATGGTTTTATTTATATAAAGCTTTACCTATATAAAAAAAAAGGACCCAATTAGATCACAGTAATGTATTCATTAGGAAATAATCCGGGTGGGTCCCCAGTACAAATCAAGAGAAGAATTTTAATAGGTGACATGTTCCTCAGTACAAATCAAACAAAGAATCTAATAATAACATAGCTGCTTTCTTTCATTTTTTTGCTTTTCTGAATCAGAATTTTTTGAAAAAAATCAATTTTTTCCTCCAAATTTGAATTCTTTGGAAAAAATCTGAATTTTTTTCCGAATTTGAATTTTTTGAAAAAAAAAACATCAATTTTTTTGGAAATTTTTTTCAGCAACGAGTACGGGATGCAAGTGCACGCGGTGATCGATACATGCTGATGTCGTTCGAAGAATTCCCGTTGAATGTAAAGGTTCGTGGTTTGGTCTGATGAAGCACGCGCAGGCAGCAGCACTCGGCGAGAACGAAGAGCGATGGCGGCTCATTGAAAGAGGGCTTCCTTTCCTGGAAAACTCTGTGCTGGAAAAGATCTGGCGCGCGCCAAAAGACATCAACAGACAGCGGAACATTTTGCTGCGAAAAAAAAACGAAGCAAAAAAAGAACAGCTCAAAAATCAGTTTCGTGATGAAGTGTGCTCACTGAGATCGTCAGGATTGCTGGTGTGGAACTTCGGCGGCGTGTTACTGATAAGCGCAAACTGTATGACCGGGGCCAGACTCGTTCAATTTGTTGAGCTGCTTCCTGGCTTGCACCACTCATCCGAACTGCAGAAACGCGCCGTCGTTTTGGGAACCATCCGATTTGGGTACCACTCATCGGCATACAACTTTACAGTGTTGAAAATTGAAGCGGTCTCCGTTTTGGGCTGTAAAGTCGCCAAGCACGCATCTATGACTATAATACAATGTGGCGGGTCAACGTTTGCGACTTGGTAATGTGCTAACTCGAAAATTTGCCGGAAAACAGTGGCTGAAATTTTGTCAGCATGAGAAATTGTATACCCAAAATGAGCACAGATTTGCATTTGCGCCACAACTTAGGGCACTTGAAAGTAACGAGTTGCATGCCCCAATTACAGAGGGATCGAATTCTTGCGCACCTTGTCTTCGTTTTGGGCTTCTGAATCCGCTGAGGTGTTTTCAACCCATTGATCTCAGTTACTGCATCGATTTTCGATCCC